TCAAGTTGCCCGTTAACTTTGGGGAAAAATCTTTATTTGAGCGGTCATGACGAATCCGGAGTTCGCCTCCTCGTGCAACAAATGTCCGAATGCTCAAACGTTGCCTAATCGCAACCTTTCAAGCTGAAAAAAAAATCATTATTTGAGCGGTCATGACGAATCCGGATTTCGCCGCCTCGTGCAACAAATGTCCGATTGCCTCAAACGTTGCCTAATCGCAACCTTTCAAGCTGCTTCCGTACAAAGCCGGAGAACGCCGCCTATGCCCCATTGGCCCCCTCAACTACGCCGCTTGACCCCCTTATCTACGCCGCTTGACACCCTTATCTACGCCGCTTGACACCCTTATCTACGCCGCTTGACACTCCTCATCTACGCATCTTGACGCCCCTCATCTACGCCGCTTGACACTCCTCATCTACGCATCTTGACGCCCCTCATCTACGCCGCTTGACCCATACGCATCTGTGTACTTTTGCCGTCGTACTCAAGCACGCGCAGCAGGCTCCATGCTGGGGCTCAGCAAGCTCAATGCTGTATATATGAACCGCACACCTCGAGAGCGCATGGGACGATGCCCCGTACAATCTCACTGTTGCTATGCATTGCCATGATCCACGGCGCGATCTGCGGCCCATGCCCAGAGGGCACCATTGGATACGCGGGTGGGAATGAGACATATAACCTCCTCACCACGTGCAATTTCGACAAGAATGCATACAGCAGCAACGACGCGACCACCGGGTGTGAATGCCAGTCCGGTCCGACAACCAGCCAGGACTGCATGATCGCGTTCGACAATGACACATCCACGGTATACAACATGACGGACGATGACTACCGATGGATGTGGTTCACCTTCATCAACATAGGGAGCGCATACATTGACAGTATCGAGTTCTCAAACGGGATATATGCGGCCGACCATAGATCACAATATATAGCAAGGGTCGCAGGCTCCGAAACACTCGAGCAGATACACTACATACGCTGTCACCTCGAGGGCGATGCCATCCTCAACGGCACCTTTGTTTTCCGATGCAATGCGCGCGGCAGCCTAATACTGATACACAAGAATACCGTCAATGAGAGTGCAAGGCTATCATTCGGCGAGATCTCAAGCATCGTTGGATGCTCGGCATGCCCAAGAGGCATGAAGGCCAGCCCAAACAGATCCACATGCATCGCATGCGCGCAGGGTGAGCCGTGTGAAGTGTTAGCTGAAGCGACATGGCAACCCCCCGATGCCCCAATCATAATTCCCGATGCCCCAATCACAATTGCCACACAGGCCGCACAGGAAAGCTCGTCGGTATTCAACATCGTGATACCCATAATATGCTGCATCATAGCCTTGATGACAGGCCTATACTTGTGCCGCGTGTATAATAGCACGGGGCACTGGCAGAGAAAGAAACCGGCAGTGATATCAAGCCATTTCAACCCGCAATACGGGTGTTTGTGAGCATTATAGGTGGTTTTTGATGCGCGGATGCGTGTTGTTTGAGATAAAAATCCTCACACTGAAACAATCACTGCGGAGCGAGCGGCCGAAGGCCGCGATAGAGACAATTGTTTTGGTCATTCATATTGTTGTATAACGTGAATAATGATTGGAATCATTGCATTGACATCGCCTTCGAACCATTCATTGCCTTCGGCTTTTGTGAAGTTGACTTTGAAGCGTTTGATGATTTCACTTTCAATCGCCTTTACATTTCTTTTGGAAACCTCTTGGCATAGGAAGACACTGGATTTCTTTCCGTATAATGAAACTCTTTCTGGATATATCATGTTCTTTCGCATTCTACATATTGTCATGCCGATTTTGAAGACGTTGTCCTTAGCATATGCTGGTTGCACTAAGTATATAAAACCAGTTTTTCCGTCTGTGGTTTTTTCCTTTGGGACTAGTTTACAATTTTGCTTGTTTGTGTTCAGATCCGTTACTGGGGTGTCCCGTTGACCCTGTCCTGAAAACTTGAAACTTTCACATTTCATCTGACAATCGGGGGTGTTGGATAAACCAGTTTTTCCGTCTAGGTTTTTCTTCTTTGGGAGTAGTTTACAGATTTGCTTGATTGTGTTTGGATCCGTTACTGGGGTGTCCCGTTGACCAGGTCCTGAAAACTTGAAACTTTCACATCGCATGTGAAGAACGGGATTTTTGTTCAAAATTCTTTTCAGTATGATAGATGCGTGCTTGTTGCTGTTTCCAGTAACAGTACAGATAACATCTATTATGGAAAATTTTGGAGGTGATCCAGGTATAAATCGAAAGGATGTATATGGGGCAATACATGTCAAAGGAATCATTGAATGCATTTGGATTGATGTTGTTTTTACTTTTGAATTACAATGAATTCAAATACTTTATTCTTTTTTAGAGAGACTTATAGGATAAGTTATTTCATTCCTCAATACAATCGCGCACCGCTCATTCAACACACATCCACGCATCAAAAATCTCATCAAACATCACACACATCCGCGCATCGAAAATCTCATCAAAAATCCGCGCAACTGCAAACATTCAGCGCCATGTTGTATTTGCAAGAGTAATCCTCAAAGGCCGGGTTCATAACGGCGGTGAAGCACGCAAGCAGCGCCGCATGGCAGAACCTCTTGTTCTTGTGTGCCCAACACTCGGGCACAAACTCATCGATGTCGATGTAGACATCGCTCCCGATAAGGGTATCCTCGATCCCTCGGATGAACTTCTTAGAATCCCTGCAGACCATGAAAAACTCCGTGGCAATCCGCGCACACGCGATAAGGTCCGTGTCCTTCCGTTCCGAATCGGTCAGGGCCACTCTATTCCCGTCCATGTCAATCCGGCCCGAATCAGGCTTGCGCTTCTTGACGCTCAGTGTCACTGTCTTTCCATCGAGATGGAATGCACTCCCACCCGAGAGATCGAGCCCAAACACACCGCTAGAGTGGGCCTTGGCAATCTCCTTGAACATCCCCTTGGCAATCACCCTAGATATGATGGATTTATAGCTTGTCTTCAAAAGGATTGCATCCTTTACAGTGGTTGGGGATTGGATGAGGGTTGGGGTGAAGCTTGGGGTAGAAGTGGGAGTGGAAGCGGTGGGAGTGGAAGCGAGAACGGCAACAGGCATGGGATAGGGCTTTGGATTGGCCATGGATCGTGGCCCCGGATTCAAAACAAGCTCGAACTCTCTTTACCACAGGGGTTTTACTGCACACACAGCCCCCACAATAATGGTCTTTTAAAACACGTAAAATGTGATTGGTGCTCTCTAACGCAAGCACGTGCGTTTGGAGCAAAACAAAACGGGTTTTACTACACACACGGCCCCCACAATAATGTTTTTTTATCCCCTTTCGTGCGCTTGGTGCAAAGTGTTTTTTTCTCTAACGCAAGCACGTGCGTTTGGAGCTAAGTTTATCCAAAAAAAACGGGGTTTACTACATACAAGGCCCCCACAATAATGTTTTTTTATCCCCTTTCGTGCGCTTGGTGCAAAGTGTTTTTTTCTCTAACGCAAGCACGTGCGTTTGGTGCTAAGAAATCCAAACGGACATCACTATCCAAACGGATTGAAAAAAAAGATCAAATCTTCCAACGTACAGTTTTCAATTTTTTTTTCGAACGCGCGCACGTTCCCAGCAAGATCCACAATGGCGAACAACTACATCTGCCATGCCCACAAATGGATCCTCAGCCACATCAGGAAGATAGATGGCCAGGGAATACTGTCCCCAGACACTGCACATCACATAGATGGCATCTATGAGCACTCAAATAGCATCATAAATGCCTGGAAGGACCTTTTGGGTGATCAACGCCTCCTCCATTGGTAACCCTCTCTAACTCCAATTTCAGAGCCACATACTGACATACCAACACGCAAGGTACCTCTTTGATCTCACCTCGTACGAGATCAACAGGCTGCAGGAGATGATTGATGAAATCTCCATAGAAGATGAGAAGAAAGGGATCATCCAACGTTTCATCGACATCACAAGACTTGACCCAGACTCACCGATAGACCCTGTGGATGGGGAAGATTATCAATTCCATCGGGGAGAGGTATACCAATCCAGTTATCATCACACGAATAACCAATAGACAAGGTGCTCGGGGACATACTCGACAACAACAAGGATGACTTTGAGGCATTCAGGACAGCCGTCAAGCAGGTGCCTCCCCCATTGTATGCTTCGCGCATGACCTTCATTGCAGTTCTTTCCACAGTGCTCACAATTCCTCGCAATCAAGCACCGCACCCCGACTGAAACACCAAACAGGGAACTATCGCAGGGTCTCCTTGACTCCTGCATCGCCATCCTCAACCTATGGGAGAGGTTCACTTGGAGGCAGAGGAGGTTCCTCATCGAGGCAATCGAGATGTTCGATCCACAGATCAGGGCCGCAGCCACCTTCATCCGGATTTCCGACCCAACGATGAATGATATCGTTGACAAACTCCACATCACGGCAATCGGACTCAAGGACTGCAGATACGGCGGACAACCTCCCCCACAGAAGAGGCAGAGGCATACCACTGGGACGAGACATCCACGCTCTAACAACAACAACAACAACAACAACAACAACAACAACAACACGTGAACGCGCACATGGCCGTCTTGTATCTTGTTCGAGTGTGTTTTTATTTTCATCTCAATGAAAAACAAAGCTTTAGTCGGAATCGGCGGTTCTTCCTGATATCAATATGTCAATGTATGATGAATTGCTTGTTGCTTGTTGTTGAGAGGGATGAGGGGATGACTGCTTCTCCTTCCTTTGCCGTTGAGAGGAGCGAGGGGCTAACTTCTTCTCCTTCCTTAGTAGTCGTTGAGAGGAGCGACGGACTGGCTGCGACTCATCCAGGGCTGGGGTGGAGCGACGGACTGGCGGCGACTCATCCGGGGCATCTAGTGATGCCCTTGGTCGCTTGGAGCCCTCCGGCTGCTGCTGCTGCTGCTGCTGCTGCTGCTGCTGCTGCTGCTGCTGCTGACCGGACCGAGACTGCTGATCATCGCTTGATCTAAGCATCTTGCCGTGTACAAGGATATCGATTGCATGCATTCTACGCTCTCTCATCTCCTCCACTTCGGATTGCATCAACAGGGCTTCTGCTTTGGCCTCATCTGCAGCCTTCTGTAGCAAATTATTCTGCTCTTCCAACAGCTTGATCTGTGCATCGTTCTGCTGTTTGACCTTGGCAACCTCCGACTTGGCCTTCTCTGCAGCCCTCTCCAGCATCGAGATGGAATTGGATGCTGATTCTAGCTGCGAATTCTTCGTCTCGAGATCCTGTTTGACCTTGGCAACCTCCGACTTGGCCTTCTCTGCAGCCCTCTCCAGCATCGAGATGGAGTTGGATGCTGATTCTAGCTGCGAATTCTTCGTCTCGAGCTCACGTTGAACCTTGGCAACCTCCGCCTTGGCCTTCTCTGCAGCCCTCACAAAACCATCCTTCTCCTTCTCCAGCATTGAGATGGTCTGCATCAAGTCGGATTGCAAAATTAGCTGCGCATCCTTCATCTTCAGCTCCTGCTTCACCCCATCGAGCTCACGTTGAACCTTGGCAACCTCCGCCTTGGCCTCTTCTGAAACCCTCTCGAAATGATCACCCTTGCATGGCCTTTGCTTCACCTGCTCAATATCACGCATCAGGTTTGAGATGGTCTGATGGTCAGATTCGTGCCGCTCTTTGGCCCTCTCGAGTTTCTGCTCAAGGTCGTTCCTTTGCCTCTCGGTGGTGAATAGCGTTGACAATGCCTTGAAGTACTCCTCCTGTCTCAACTTGAAGAGCTCTCGGTACATGGTCGCAGGCTCATTGAGCTTCAAGTCGCATCTCCCATTGAGAAGGTAATCCTTTGCCTCGACTATGGTCCGGGACTCATCGCTGCAGATACCCGCTCTGGCTTTGTCCGAGTGTTTGTACTTGCTCATCATTCTGAAAGCCTGTTTGATCTCCATGTCTGTATATGTCTTGGTTGCGTCGAGACCAAGAGTGAGGTAGAAGAAGCCCTTTGTATAGTCAAAGGGGGAATCACGATCTTTGAGTTTCTTGGATGCTTCCTCCAGTTTGATTCGTGTATCTCGTAGATCCTCATTCAGATCAAAAATGTTGTCTTTGAGATCACTTATCTCTGTTATCATAGCTTCGATGCGATTTTGTCTCTTGTCTAGGGCCACTTCAAGGTCAAGTATGTATTTGTCCTTCTTTTGCAGGTCCGCTTTCTGGTATGCATTCAGATCCTGCATTTGTTTGTAGCTTTCATCGAGGATATTGTATTGTTGATCAAGATTCAAGAACTTCTCGGAGAGAGATGTGTATTGATGCAGTAGAGAGGGGGTTGGTTCCATGGTTGGATATGCGAATGGGCACCGGAGCACCCAGGAACCGCTTTGATTTTACTACAGGGGAACCGAGCGGTAGTAAAGATTAACCGACAACAAGCACGTGCAATCGGTTTGTCAGCATTTTTTTTAGTTTGCACCTTAGCACTTTTGCACCTTAGCACGTTCTCTTTTTTTTGCACCTACAGCTACGGCGCTCCGATGCCCTTTTTTTTAGAGTCAGCATTTTTTTTACTTTAGCCCCTGTACCTTAGCACGTTCTCTTTTTTTTGCACCTATAGCTACGGCGCTCCGATGCCCTTTTTTTTAGAGTCAGCATTTTTTTTACTTTGGTTCAAAGAAGAAGAAAGTCTTCATTGGAAGTGTGTAACGATATTTTTAGTCTGTCATTCAACGTACAGAATTGATAGTTGAAAAAAGGGATAACAGATTCACGAAAGACGTGTGTCAGAGGTTTGAAACGGTGTACAACCACTGAATGTTTCAAGTTTCCATTCGTATCCCGGGATGTCAATGCAGCAAAGAATATCATGCTATGTTTCAAGGCACTTCCTGGAAGGCCCGGATTTCTGCAAAGACCTCATCATCATCCTCATTAGTCGTCGACTAGTGGGGGTCGTCGAGAGAAACATTCATTTGTTCGCTCTTGGCGGGTATGCTCCCAATTGGGGGTACATACCATAGCCTATGGACTTCAAATTTGATTTAGATTCGATATTTATTTCGGATTGTCGTTTATAGGTTAATCTGTCATTCAACGTACAGAATTGATATGAAATATAAACTTTCATACACGCTTTCCACGCTTTGACAACTCCTGGCACTCCCGCTCCAGCCGCTTGATGTTCTCACGGAAGAACTCATCCGTAACACTCGCAGATTCCTTCCATTCCATGTACCACCCCTCCATAACCCGAAGCTCCGAGAGCTTCTCCATCAACTCATCACAACATTCATCATCGGCCTCACCCTCACCCTCTTCCTCACCCTCAACACACCTGTAACAAAGCCTAGGATCAACCGCAAGCCCCGGTCTCACCCCCGTAACCGCATCCGGCACGTTCATACAACATTCCTCAGCCCTAGCATCAACCCCACATGGATGGTCAAATGTAGACATCGCAGTTCAATCCGTAGCAAGCAAGATCGATCCAGATTCGTTATTTATTTCGGATTGTCGTTTATAGGTTAAATGATTCTTTTTTCAAGAAAAATCAAGAAAAATCAAGAAAAATCAAGAAAAAAGAATCCCCAAAAACGAAGGGGTCCTCCAAAAAACAAAAAAATATATCAACAACCATCCACCAAGCATTCGCCGCAGAAAAATTCAATGTCCCAACAGCACATGAAGTCGCAATCGCAATCCAAATCACAATCCCAATCCCAATCTCAAACATCCCATCAATCCATGGATATCTCACAAACTGCTTCATACGTCACAGCAGATTCATCATCCGAGATCAACTACATGACACCAAGATCGGATATATCTAGCATCACAATCGACCTAGACACAAGGAAATCACTTCCCGTATCACCACATTCATCAATGCTGTCATGCATATCCGACGAATATGACTGCGTCATAGACGCATTGAGAGACGCAGAACTGAACGACTCCAAGAAAAATCAGCACGAGACCAATCAACAATGCAAAACAAACACATTTTCAGAAGAAAATCACAATGACACCGCAGTGCACCAAAAGAGGCGCCGTGACGCAGCAAAAACAGGGGAGATGGCACACACACCATACAGGAAAAGAGCAAAGATGGGAAGTCCAAACACAAACTGTTGCATCATAGCATAGATATATATAATGTCATATAATGTCATCTCGATTATGCCACCACGCATTAATCACAGAATATGCCATATCAAAAAAATACGCATCAAAACATACGAGCCATCGCCGCAGAAAAAATTAGATGCTTTGTCACACTGCATATCCCTCCTCACAAAAGACCCAAAATCCAATCGTCATAGGCGCAACAGGGTATCAGATATTGCTATAACCTCAACAAATATAAAAAAAGTCATCATTCAAACACAAAAATGCATCCAACAAGCATCACAATAGTATCATTCCTCATGTTATTCGCGGTTTCGATCATTCTCACAATACTCCGAAAAAACACAACAAAAAAACGGGAAAAACATAGTCATTCCCAAAAAAATCACATTCCAAAGCATAATACAACAGTGTATCCCTATCCAGACGACAATGAAACAGTATTCTGCTAGACAAATCCCGAAAAAAAAACACAAAAGTATCCGAATAATCTTCAACACAATATCAAGACAGCCATGCTCAAGATAGCCATACTCATATTGATCATCATAGAGGCCACCATAATATCGGGATTGCTGCTACATTTGATAGACTTCGTCAGCACAGAATGAACTCCGCGTATCCGTTTTCAAGAAGGCGTGCAAATTTGCTATACCCATGAAAGGTGCAACACATGAATCATTGCGTTATTGCCGCACAGGATTGCACCGCTGGATTATTGCGGCGGTTACATCATGGGATGGCGCGTAACTGGCGGTTTAAATAAACCGGTATGTAAAACGGTCAAAAATCACCTTTTGTCCCACATCATGAACTTTTCCCGCGTCACAAAATTTTTTGCCGTATTTTGGTCTTTATGAAACCCCCTTCCTCACAACACCGTCGGATTCACCCTAAACGTTGCGGAAACGAGGTCCATTCCGGTCGACGGCTCCTTATAACGGTTCCTTATAACCGTCCTACTAACGAATTTTTCATATATAAGAAAAATATGTATAGAAAGAATAGCACGGATTCTATATGGAGCCCTTTCTTTTACTTAAAGTTGAGTAAACTTTCTTAGTTAAGTAACGTTCACAATGCAGGAAGCACAATGAAGAGCATCGACGCCGCCCTACAGCAAGGATGATGGTGTTGTACATCCGATCACGTCTTGGGATCATTCTAGGAATAGTTGTGCATTACTTCTACACATCTTTCAATCATGATAACGATAGAAAACCTTTCAAGTTAGACATGAACATGGTCTGAAGAATCATACTTGTCATGTTGAGATTCCCAAGTTGTCATTATCATGATGTCATCCATCCCCAAATGTCTTCCAATATGCAAGTCCCTTGAGCAACCATATCACGCTTGTTTCCTTTGTACACTGCACGATCATCCACACCCTAATCACAAAAGCATCTTCAAGCTCCCCTTACCCCGCACTTGTCCCATGATCCCATCCCCAAGAACATTATAGAAGTGACAAGGTGTAATCGTTGTTGCATGCAGCATAGCATCCAACTTCACAATGTGTCTGTACCTAATCCTCTCAAACCTGCCGCAGTGCGCATACTCCTTCACCCCCATCCCCAGTTCTCTGGTATTGCACTTGCATGTTTCTAGACATCACCGACAGGTACTGTACTGTGCTCTTCTGTATTGCACATTAATGTATTACACTAGTAACTACACCAAAACATCTCTACATCCTTCGCCCTCGCCCGCTCTTCCTAAGCAAGTCCACCACCGTCATCCACGACAAATGGCCAAACCTTGACGTCACGTTCCATTCTCCTCTTGCTTTCTTGTACACTTCCATCAGAAAGTTTTCACACTGATCATACATAAACCCCGCTTCCTCTATCCCTTCCGGTTGCTCGACATACACTCCCAGTGCTCTGGCTTCTATTTCTATTTCCCTCACAAGATAACGCAAGTCACTTAACCTCTTCTTTTGATCCTTGGTGTAGAAATGGCGAGGCTTCAAGGTTTTGTAAGCAGGATACCCTTTCTCCCTGTTTCCGAAATGCCATTGTGTATAAATTGCTCTTGCATTCGCTTTCACCCATTTGAAATTGGTGGGAAGTAACCTGCTCTCGTCCCCTTCCGCATTGTCATTCACTGTTTCATCTTCAACCTCGCCGCCATCGTCCTGAGCATCTTCCATCACATCTTCCATCTCCACATCCTCCGTGCGACTTTCCATTCCCCTATCCCTCCCATGCCTTACCCCCATTCTTCTGCGCACTGCAGTACTCGCCAGTGAATGACTTACCGCTCTCTTGATCTCATCTGTCATGCCTTCTTTCAATTCCTTGATAGACCGTTTCATTTCTTCGAATTCCTTCATAGACCCTTTCATCTCTTCCAACGTATTCTGTATCCCTTGCAGGCACTGTTGCATTCCTTGCATCTTCGCATCGATTTCCTCTCTCAATTTGCCTTCTCCATCCCTTGTTTTGGTCACGAAATCATACATTCTCCACACAACCTCAATCAAATGGTTCAGGGTGTCCTCCGCTGCTGCTTTCACGCCTGCATCCACACCTGTTCCTCCATCCCCCAACCCACTCTGCAAGGAATTGGCTAGAGGACGGTTCTCTGCGATCGCTCGGAAGATTGAATCAGCTGAAGTGCGGAAGCAAACTGCAAGCTTCTCTTCCATTGTTGCATTTGTTTCTGTCAAGTGATTGATAGACCCTCTCATCTCGGTAATGTTCCCGTTCATGCCGTCTACGGCCCCTTTCATTTCTTCCATTGATCGGATCGTCATGACATGAGGAGGCAAACCAGTGGGTCTTCTGCCGTTCCCGTCAATTGAAATGTATCGGCTCAACAATGGTAGAAATTCATGATATGAAAACAGCTCTGTTTCGAATAGAGGATGATTTGCTGGCATGGTCTTTCTCAACCAATCCTGGTGGTAAACCACCGCCGCAATAGCCTGCTCTGCAATGTACTTCTTCTTCGCATCCAGGTTGGGGAAAAGATGCTCGATCACTCTGTCTACGTCCATTCTGCTTTCCCCATTTTCACATTTGAAGAATGGTGGCAAGATGGCAAAGTCCGCATGATTCATGGGGAGACCGCACACTGTGCGTCCAACGTAGCAGTCTGACGCGGCTTCATACCTCAGGTACGTGTCGTAAATTGTCCCAAGCTTCCACCCTGCTCGAATGCTTATTGCTGCTAGGCTCGGGCAAGCAGTGCTCCCACTAGAGCAGAATGTCGATGCACCTTTCCGAATAGAGTGACTCCCTGTACAAATGTAAACTGGATGCATGCAGTGATTGGAATATGAAGCGTGTTACCGATTTCATTTGCATTCAAACCCTTCGCGTGAATTGCAGCAGCTACTTCCTCATCCGCAATGAGAAGTCTGTTGCATAATAGCTTTCGAAATCTGTCATACTGGTTTGTGCCTGATACTCGTGATCACTGGCAATACATGATGACCACAAGGCAACTTCACCTGGGAACAGACGCCCACCGCTAGCAGTATGATTAAAACCATAACAGCAGAAGTAAATTCCTGTGATATGTCAAGCGAGGGAAGATCCGGCTCCCACCCCCAAACAAAATCATACTCACCCAGTGCTAGCAGAGGACATACTTCAGGTGAACACACGTTGCTGTAGACATGCTTTGGATCCCGCGGTTTCTCACCAGCCTGATCATTTTTTGCGTGAATTACATAGAAGCGCAAGGCATCCCCGACGAATTCCATGTGATTGTACAACAGTGTGCATACGTTTCTGGATCTGGACATCAAATTCCAAGCCAGAATCAAAAAGGTCCTGGCCCAAACATATTCTCTTTCTGGTTTCTGTAGCATAACCTTGGCGAACACTGAGTACAAATCGTATGACAATGGTACCTTGCCGGTTGTCACTTTTGCATCTTGATTGCAAGATTGAGAAAGATTCAACGTTCGCTTCAATCCTCTGAAGTCACTGCTCAATGTTTTCACCGCCTCGATGCTCAGTGTAACCCCGTAATTCTTGAGCATGTGCATCAATCCTGACTTGTACGACGAGCATGTTTGGAATGTTAGTTCTGGATTTTGTTGAACTTTATGGGTCACCCAGTCAAGAAACATCACTGGCGTGAATTTTTCAAAGTGGATGGGATTAATTTGCTTCTGTAACATTATACTCTTGATGTAAGTTGTAGTTGGTAAACTCTCGTCCGTCATCGCTGGCTCTGTCACTTGATCTGATCCGTTCAAGAATTTGTCATGTTCTTCACGCATATTCGTTTTGAATTCATCAGTTATGAGAGCATAATACTCGTCATTCGCGTACAACCATTCTATGAAGCGTATCATGTAGTTCATATACATCTCTCTGGTCTTCTCCGATACATTGTTCTGCTGAATGCGTGTACGTCTTTCCTCGAATTCTCTCCGCTGTTGCACACATAAAACAGCAGCTGTGGATTGAGGACGCTTGCGACCTCGCCGTGCCCTAGGCTGCACCGGTGATTGATCCAATGCGGCTTCAGGTTGCAATACGTTTTCATCTTCTTCCACAGCAAAAGCTGGAATAGCCTGTTCCCGTCTTACCTCTGGCCCCGTTGAATCACTGTCATGAACCTCTTCCATTACCTCCTCCTCATCCCCGGAGTCCCCTCGATCCTCTTCCGCCGTCACTTGCACTTCAGCACTGCGTAAGACACTTCCCTCTGCGCCAGACATAACTATGCTTCCGTGGTTAGCTTGGTGCCGCTGAAGGACGTAATACCCCCCCACCCCATAATTCTCTTCAAAACAGGGGTACTACTATGAATCCATCTGGTTCACGTGTTTGCTTTTTTTTACTTCCTGTGCTAAGACCTAGGTCCTATTCTTTCATATGTACATAACTAGCTATATACAAAACAAAAGAACGAATTTGACGGATTCCGTCGGGATCAACGGTATTTAAGCCCCTCATACAGCCCGCACATGCCCAGTTTTGGTCCGTGACGGCCCGTTATATTACAGATACGTTTTTGGTTTTTGGATCTGCGATATAAAAAAGTCTTGTCTCGGTCACGTGATGTGTCACGTGACCGGTCAGGTGAGCCTGTCAGCCGGGTCACGGCCCCTGTCAGCCGGCTGACATGTCACGGGCCTGCTGACACGGTCCGCTGACCGGTCACGGCCGCCCGGAGAGATCAGGCCCCCGGCCAATCTCCGGACACTTAGCCTCCTGGGCGGGCCTCCAGGGGGTCTGAGGCGGGGCTGAAGGCTGCATTCGGTCTACTGACGGGCCCGGCCGGCAAGATCCGTCAGAAACAGGGGGTCAAAGGAGGTTTTCTTCCCCCTGGGAGAAATGTCCTATGGGTTTTTGGATCTGCGATATAAAAAAGTCTTGTCTCGGTCACGTGATGTGTCACGTGACCGGTCAGGTGAGCCTGTCAGCCGTCTGACATGTCACGGGCCTGCTGACACGGTCCGCTGACCGGTCACGGCCGCCCGGAGAGATCAGGCCCCCGGCCAATCTCCGGACACTTAGCCTCCTGGCGGGCCTCCAGGGGGTCTGAGGCGGGGCTGAAGGCTGCAGTCGGTCTACTGACGGGCCCGGCCGGCAGGATCCGTCGAGAAACAGGGGGGTCAAGGGAGGTTTTCTTCCCCCTGGGAGAAATGTCCTATGGGTTTTTGGATCTGCGATATAAAAAAGTCTTGTCTCGGTCACGTGATGTGTCACGTGACCGGTCAGGTAAGCCTGTCAGCCGGGTCACGGCCCCTGTCAGCCGGCTGACATGTCACGGGCCTGCTGACACGGTCCGCTGACCGTTCACGGCCGCCCGAAGAGATCCACCCCCGGCCAATCTCCGAACACTTAGCCTCCTGGCGGGCCTCCAGGGGGTCTGAGGCGGGGCTGAAGGCTGCAGTCGGTCTACTGACGGGCCCGGCCGGGCAGGATCCGTCGAGAAACAGGGGGGGTCAAGGGAG